GCTACCTGTGCCGACAGCTTCGACGTGGCCATGCTCGAACGCATCACTGCCTGGTCCCCAGCTGTGTGCCTCCGAGCTGCGCGCGAGGCTGACGTCGCCGAACTACGAGTGGAAGAGCCTGGCGCCCCCCATCCTCGAGCAGAGCGGCCCATTAGATGCTTGAACGAGCGCGCCGAGGCATGGGCAGCGGCCTGGCTTGCGGACGTCTGCATGGGCCCCGTGGCCAACATTCAGGAGAACTGGATGCGATGGCGCATCTCATGCCTCACTGCAGCCCTTCGTCGGCCCCAGTTCAGCACCGCCTGCGGCGGGCATGCAGGTGTGGGGCGCCGATGCAAATGAGAACAAACAACTCGTGACATATGCGAACGGGCCTGGGGTGCACAGCCGCGGGGAGGCATCGCCGGGCCACGATGCGCCTCGCCCCTCGCCCGTCTGCCGCCGCTGCTGCCGCTGCTGCGGCTGCCCGCCGGCGCGACGCCGAAGCTGCTGGACATCGAGCCCGCGGGCGTAGGATCGCCCCTGAACTTCCCGCCCCTGATTTCTTCCCGCGCGACGCCGATCCTGGCGTCGAAGCGGGGGGTCACGCTGACATGATAGGCGCGGCGGCCTGGCCTCGCTCTCTCGCTGCCGACAGGAGTGTTATCCGCAGCCGTCTGCCGCGAGCTCCGCCCTCGAAGCTCTGGCCGCCTCTGAAAACGTTGGCTGGGGCACGGACGGCGCGCTGCCGCGCGCGCGTCAAGCCCGCCATGCCCTTGCGCCTTTTTGGCTCCCCGAGCGGCCGCGTTTCCCGAGCAACATCGACTGCGTCGCGCCCTAACTCGTGCATCCAGGGATGCGGCCACACCTCTGCCAGCCTGGCGGCGTCGTTTCGTAGTTCCTGCTGGCGCGCGCTGGGCTCGGCGGTGAAATTCGCGACGAGGAAAACGACATCGACCGCGCCGACATGTGCAACTTCACCACTGACGCCGTTGCCGCCGCTCGTCGCGCGCCGAGACCCCGCCCGCGCCTCGACGGCGGCGTGGGGCCGCGGCGGCGCCTAGAGCTGACGGACGCTCCGAGTGGGACATTCGCTCCTCCTCCTCGTTTCTGCGCCGAAGCGTCGTAGCCTTGCGCGCCCTAGACCGCGCAGGCTGCCGTGGGCGGTCATCGGAGACGAGTTTCCCCTGCGGTTTGGGTCAGGGCCTGCGGCCCGCAGGCCGCACAGGGGTTTTAAGCGTGACGTCCGCCACGCCCGTGCGGGGCCTGAGGTGTCTCGACCCCGCTGGCCCACCCCCCTATAGGTGGGGATGGCCCCGCGAAATCAGCGGGAACGAACATATTGTCCCAACCAGGTGGGTGAGTCGGCCTGGCCGCGGCCGCGCCCGTCGGGGCAGGGATCAGTTAAACCTTCCCGCCGCTGCCCCCCCCCCCCCCCCCCCCGTCTTTGCAGGAGCAGCAGCAGGATGGCCCCTGCTCCTGCTTCTCCTGCCGCCACCCCCTCTCTGGCATCCCCCCTGCTGCCTCTCCCCGCAGCGCCCTCTCTCCTGCTCCTCCTGTTTGCTCCTGCTGCTGCTCCTGCTCCTGCTTTCTCTTGCTGCTCCTGCTGCTTGTGCTCCTGCTCCTGTCTGCTTCCACGCCTGCTCATGCCTTTGCTCCTGCTTGCTCATGGTGACCGGCTTGCCCCTGCTCCTGCTTGAAGATCCGCGGCCCCAGCAGTCTTCCATGTGTGGGGGAAGTGGTCACTGGGGCCACGGGTGTCTGCCGAATGCACGGACGGAACTATTTGGGGGGCGTGCCCGTCCAGAACTTTTTCTTACTGTCCATTTGGATGGTGACGTTCCACTTGGGCATCGGCGACTGGGCACACCGCCCCCCCCACACAAATGAGGAGGAGAGAACATGAAGGAACAAGGATGCGGAGGCGGCAGGGGCGCGGCCATGGGGCGTGGGCCATCAGGCCGAGCCGTTCGGCGCGGGCGCGCCACCGCTTTAGGCCAGATGCGGGGGAAAAGGGGGAGAGGAAAAGGACCTAGCCCAAACATCCGACATGAAACTGTTGAACGCTTGACAAAAGAAAGGCGGAGGAGGAGGAGGAGGAGGAGGAGGAGGAGGAGGAGGAGGAGGTGGAGGACGAGGATGATGAGGAGGACGAGGAGGAGGAGGTGGGGAGAGGAGGAGGAGGAGGAGGAGGAGGAGGAGGAGGAGAGGAGGAGGAGGAGGGCAGGAGGAAGAGGAGGATGAGAAGGAGGAGGAGGAGGTGGAGGAGGAGGAGGACGACGACTGGGCAGGAGAGAGAGGAGGCGCAGGAGGAGGAGGACGAGGAGGAGGAGGAGGAGGAGGAGGAGGAGGAGGAGGGAGGAGGAGGAGGCGAGGAGGACGACTGGGAAGGAGGAATGGGGAATAGGAGTGGGGAGGAGGAGTGGGGAGGACGAGGGGAGGACGAGTGGAAGAGGAGGAGGAGGAGAAGGAGGAGGAGAGGAGGAGGACAGGAACAGGAACAGGAGCAGGAAGAGGGGATGAGCAGGAGGAGGAGGAGGAGGAGGAGGAGGAGGAGGAGGGAGGAGGAGGAGCAGGAGGAGGAAGAGGAGGAGGAGGAGGAGGAGGAGGAGGAGGAGGAGGAGGAGGAGGAGAAGTTGGGGGAACATGAGAAACTGTAGGATGAGGATGAGGAGGAACAGGAGGAGGAGGAACGGGAGGAGGAACGGGAGGAGGATGGGAGGAGGTGTAGGACGAGTGGGGAGGATGAGTGGGGACCATTGCAAACCCCAAGAGTCACCAACGATGTTGGAGTGCACCATCCCTTCAAGCTTCCTTTTCCATTGGCCCCTGCAAGGGATCATTTCCACAGAGGAAGTGCCCAATTGGGAGACAACCTTTTGAAGATCCCGACACGTGTCAAAACACCGTTCTCGGGACCTCAACGCCACACATCAACCTGACTGTGTCGTGTTGACGATCCCGAATCGCGCCACAACAGCACCATTCCTGGGAGTTCAACACAGCGAATCAACGTAACTGTTGCGCCCTGACAATCCTGAACCCCTCCAAAGAACAGTTTCTGGTACACTGAACATGAGAGTCCGTAGAACTATTTCACATGTTTAAGATGAGTGCGCGCGGCGTTCAGGGGAGAGTCACATGCGGAAACGGAACCGTCTTCAACCCGTGACACTTTTGCATGTCGTATAAACGAATGCGCGCGGCGCCAAGGGGAGAACCATATTTTGAAAACGTCCCGCCCTCCATCTGTTAACTTCTTGCACACTGTTAAAAAGAATGTGCGCGGCGCTACGAAGACAACCACATTTTGAAAACCACCCGCCTTCAATCTTTAAAGTCTTCTAATTCCCCGCATCCTGAGTGGGGTTCTTCTTTTCCTGGGACGCCCTCTCCTTCTCCTCCTCCTCCTCCTCCTCCTCCTCCTCTTCTTCCTCCATCATACGTGCCATCTCATACCATACCTAGCATACCATACCAACGCCATACCTACCATACCACACCTACCATACCATACCTACCATAACAACCCTACCATACCAGACCATACCTACGGTATTATGCCCTACCATACCATTCCTACCGTACCGTGCCAGACCATACCATGCCATACCATATCATACCATGCCACACCTACCATACGATACCACACCTACCATACCAAAGCTACCATACCATACCTACCACTCCAGGGAGGCCACGCCAGAGGGGCCACTTCCACTCCCACTCCTCCAGGGAGGCCCCGCCTGAGCGAGGAGGGTATCCTGAAGCCATGATGTTTATCAGGTTTCGTGCCCCTCCCACTCCTCCAGGGAGGCCCCGCCTGAGCGAGGAGGGTATCCTGAAACCATGATGTTTATCAGGTTTCGTGCCCCTCCCACTCCTCAAGGAAGGCCCCGCCTGAGCGCGGAGGGCATTCGCAAACCATGTTATGTATCAGGTTTCGGGCCCCTCCCACTCCTCCAGGGAGGCCCCGCCTGAGCACGGAGGACATTCGCAAACCATGTTGTTTATGAGGTTTCGTGCTCCTCCCACTCCTCCAGGGAGGCCCCGCCTGAGCGAGGAGGGTATTCGCAAACCATGTTACTTATCAGGTTTCGTGCCCCTCCCACTCCTCCAGGGACGAACGTGCTTCCTCAACAGTCGTCGTCTTCCTCCCTGCTGCTCCCCCGCCTTGCCTTCGTCGGCCGTTTCTTTCGCACGTACCTTTGCGATGGCCCTTCCATTCATGTTCTTTTATTTTGCCTCAGTGACCCCACGAAGCTCTCAACATCCTTATGTGGGGAACTCCGTTGGCGTAATTTTCTAAACTTCAGGATCATACATGGTAAGACAGTCTGTGTCGAAATGCTCGGCCCGTCCTTCCAACTGGCCTTGGAGTGCAACAGGGGGGGGAGTTGTTGATAAGGAAACGCAATGGAGGAGGCGGAGGTGGAGGCGGAGGCGGAGGAGCAGGAGGAGGAGGATGAGGAGGAGAACGAGGGGGAGGAGCAGGAAGAGGAGGAGGAGGAGGAGGAGGAGGAGGAGGAGGAGGAGGAGGAGGAGGTGGAGAAGGAGGAGGAGGAGGAGAACGAAAGGGAGGAGCAGGAAAAGGAGGAGGATGAGGATGAGGAGGAGGACGACGACGACGACGAGGGGCAGGAGGAGGGAGAGGAGGAGGGTCGGGTGGGCTGAGTCGCTTCAGAGCTGTCTGGAAGGCTCCCGGAACCCCCTGGAGCGCTTTGGAAGGGCGGCGGCGCCCGATGCGTCCTCCGGAACAGCTGGGACTCACAGCTCCCCGACCTGTCCAGGGTTCGATTTCTTCACCGTCCTGGCGTCGAGTGAAGGAGGGAGCAGGCCCCTTCCGCCGTTGTCGTTGTCGTCGCCGTTGTCCGTTGTCGTCGTCGGCGTCGCTGTCGTCGTCGCCTTCGTCGCCGTCCTCCTCAACCTCGACGTCGTCGTTCTCGTCGTCGTCGTCGTCGTCGTCGTCGTCGTCGTCGTCGTCGTCGTCGTCCTCGTCGTCCTCGTCGCCCTCCTTTCTCCCCTCCCCGCTCCCCCCTCTCCAATGGCGGCGCTGCCTGTGCGCCCGTCCTGGCGTGCGGTGGCCGCCCTCGTGGTGCTGGCGCTCGCGGCGACCCCAGCCGTTGGGAAGGCCGCCGTGTTGCCGTCGCCGCAGCCGGCCCTCATCGTCGTCGTCGTCGTCGTCGTCGTCGTCGTCGTCGTCGTCGTCGTCCCTCCCTCTCTTCCTACCTCTCTGCTCTGGCTCTCTTGCTCTCCCTCGCCGAGGAGGAGGAGAAGGAGGAGGAGAATGAGGAGGAGGAGGACGAGGTGGAGGGCAAGGAGGAGGAGGCGGAGGAGGAGGAGGAGGAGGAGGAGGAGGAGGAGGAGGAGAATGAGGAGGAGGAGGACGAGGAGGAGGGCAAGGAGGAGGAGGAGGAGGAGGAGGCAGAGGAGGAGGAGGAGGAGGAGGAGGGGGAGGGCACAGCCGATGCGCCCTCTGAAAGCCTTTGTTGGCGACCGGGGGGTTGTGTTCGTGGAGGGGCAGAGGGTCTACCCACTGACACGGGAGCCCCTGCTTGCGCGAGGAGCACGTTGCACGCCGCCAGTGGGGACACCTAGCCGCGGGCGAACCGCACATGTTTGGTCTTCAGGGCAGCTCCCCCTACAAAACCTTACCGCGGACGTGCCGCATGTCCAGAAGGAACCCCACAGCTGCGCGAGCGCGTCGGCGAGCTTGCTCAGCTGCTCAGCGCCCAAGACGTCGAGTTGCTCCGGCGAGACGGGCGGCAGACGCTGGTGCGTGTCCTGCAGAGCATGCTCCAACAGGATACGCACGCGGAGCTCCGCCAACGTCGAAGGCCGCGGGGCTCCTGACAGGGAGCGAGACGGCCGAGACGCAGGCGGCGCCACAGTCGCCACTGCCGCATCCCCGCGGGCGCCCTCCCCCGCGGGGGCGGCCCCCGCACGCCTGGGGGGGCAGCGCGTCGGCCCAGCTGCCGTCGCCTTCCTCGCTGCCGCGCGGCCTCGGCATGCCCCTGCGCGGGAGCCCCGCGCTCGGCGCCGCCGCCGCCGCCTGGGCTGGGGGCCAGCCTCGGGCGTGGCGGCATTCGCAGGCGGAGCGGGCGGCTCCGCGACACCGTCGCCATCCTCCATCGCGACGGCAGCGGCCGCCGCACCTCCAGCATCCGCCGGCCTGCCCGCCGCGGCCGCGCGGGCGGCGCCGCCGCCGATGGGGCTTGCTGGCGGACGCCCATGGCGCACCTCGTCCTGGAGCCGCGCCGAGGGAAGAAACATGAGGAGCGCTGGGGCCTCTGCTGTGCGGGTTCGGTGCCGCAGGAATTCTACCATGGTGCCCGCAGCTGCAGATGAGAGTGAGGGGTGGCGGGCGGCACGGGCCTTTGGCTGGCGCGGGTCGGAGGCGGGTCGCGCGGGGCACGGGGTGCGCCGTCAAGTGGTTTCCATGTTTCCAAAACGCCAAACGCCGCCTCTAAAATGTCACCGCGGGCGCCGTCTCTTCATCGCAATGCTGGCGGGATCGTCTGCGTTGCGGGTCACAGGCGCGTCGCGCCCGGGGGGGATGCGCCGCTGGCGCTGACCGCAATGTGGGCTGGTCGCGGGTGGGTCGCGGGGCGGATCGCGGGCGGGTTGCTCGTGAGTCGCGGGTCGTGCGCGGGTCTGTCGCGTGTTTGGTTGTCGGGGGACAGTCATTGTACAACCGTGTGTCCGCCTTGTCCGTGCCGTTCTCGAATAGGCAGGCCTCCAGAGGGGCCCCAAAGGGCCTGCGCAGCAGATCGAGGAAGGCAGGCCCTCGGGCCCTGCGGTCGTGGTCCGCACACCCATGCTGGGCGTCCATGTGCTCTCGGCGCCTTCGTGCGTCGGCCCTCTCCGCTGCCGTCGAGGGCACCCTGCCGCTGAAGGTGCACCTCGCAGACGACGGCAGCTGCGCCGCCGGTAGCGACACAAGCTCCGGTTCGGACCGCGACCACCGCTCCTCGAAGAGGAAACAACTGCATAGCCATAAGCTTTTGGCGCTCCGCGCCAACATTCGATGTTTATGGCGTGTTTTCTTCCTCTAGCGCCGCCGGCAGCGACACGAGCTTCGGTTCGGACCCCGACCACCGCCCCGACACCGACGAGGACCTCGCGCCAGGGCCGCGGCCAGCGGGCCTCGGGCCCACCCCTGGGGCTCGAGAGCTCGAGGCGGGCGCGGCCGCTCCAGCCGGGCGAAGGGCCCCCGCAGCCACGCCGCCGTGCATTCGCCCCTGCGCAGCCAGACCGGGGCATTCGTCCCGAAGTGCCTCGCCCCGGCGGGAGGCCAGCGCCTCTGGCTCGCCTCCAGCTCGGCGGCGCAAGGCCCCCCAGTGGACCACGGTGATGATGCGCAAGTCTAGCACTCTCAGATGGGGCCCCAGTAGATGGGGACGGAGGATCGCACCGCATCGCCGATGCATCGGCGATGCGACTCGATGTGCAGTCCGATTTTCTCCACGCCGACGTCGCCGATGCATAGCCGATGTCGCCGATGCATCGCCGATGCATCGCCGACGCATCGGCGATGCATTGGCGATGCGGCGCGGTCTTCCGATCCCATCTGCTCGGACCCCATCTGGGAGGCCCCCAGCAATGTCCCCAGCTCGTGCATGTGGGACTCGCTGATTGACCTGCTGGAGTTCGAGGGACTCTCGGGGTGGTTTGACTTCGTCTGCGTCCCCGTAAAGCGCTGTGCAGTCGTGACGCCCTACCAGGGCTCCCTGGACCGCCTCGCCTTGCTCTTGACACCGGCGGTCGCTGGCAGGGGTGGAAATGTGGGCACTTCTTTATCCGTGCTCATGGTTCAAAATGATCTCAGTGTCGCAGATGAACTGAAATCCGTGTGCCGCCCCTTCATTTCATCCTCTGGACGGCTCGACCGACTCCGAAGCACTCAGGCATTCGAGTTCGAGGAAGCCGCCCAGGAAGCCAGTGGATGTCAGGCGGATCTTGTGCGGACCCCCCGCTACAATTCGAGAAACGGGGGGGTGCCCATACAATTTCGCACGCGCGGGGGGCCGCGTCCGAGTGGTTCGGAAAATCGTTTCCCCGCGGTTCGCCAGATCGGCGTTGGCTCTCCTGGGCCATATCTGTCGGCTGACTTTGACATCTTACGGAGTAGATGCAACGGGCTCTCGCTGTTATTTGCTTCCAAGCCACCCGCCTGTTTCGCGCATCTTGATTTGCGCGAGGAAAGAGTATCCGATTTCGTGTGGTTTTGTGCATCTGAAGGATGGGTCCATCCTGGCGTCGCCGACGAGATCAATCAATCGTTGTAGCCGCGAAGCAACAATGCACCACGCCCGCCCATCCCAGACGGGGTCTGAAGGGTAAGGTGCGGTTGCGTGTCTCTACGTTCAGTTGTAGGCACCTTGCGCGCAAGCCTTGTAATGAGCTTCCTTTTGCCAGGCATGCAACTTCGACTGAGTCCTGCGACAGCACGTTGCAAGAGGTGTGCTGATGTATGTTGGGTCGAGTCGCGGCTGCCTCTAGTTTATGATTAGCCTTTGGCTATAGCGGACGCGAGTATGCCTTCAACACCCAGGTCCAGCTGCGTACCCTAGGGGGCCCCAAACCGGCCAATTAGCGGTGCGGCATCCATTCGGGAGTTTTTTGTTGTTCTGTTTTGTTCCCAACCATCCTGTGGTGTTGGGTCCTCGTTTTGAAGAGACGGCGCCCCGCGTTCCTCCTCTCCTCTCCTCTCCTTCCTTCTCCTCTCTCCCCTCCTCCTTCCTCCCACCATCATCTTCACCTCTCACACGTTTCGTGGCCCCATACGGAGCTCCACCCAAGGTCCCAGTGGCGCAGCCCGCATGCGGTATGCGCCCAATTTTGGCACACCCCTCACACGTTTCGTGGCCCCATGCTCCACCTATGGTCCCAGTGGCGCAGCCCGCATGCGGTACGCGCCCCATTTGGGCACACCCCTCACACGTTTCGTGGCCCCATAGGGAGCTCCACCTTAGGCCACAGTGGCGCAGCCCGCATGCGGTACGCGCCAAATTTTGGCACACCTCTCACACGTTTCGTGGCCCCATACGGAGCTCCACCCAAAGCTCCACGTTTCGTGGCCCCATAGGGAGCTCCACCCAAAGTCCCAGTGGCGCAGCCCGCATGCGGTACGCGCCCAATTTTGGCACACCCCTCACACGTTTCGTGGCCCCATAGGGAGCTCCAATGTAGGCCCAGTGGCGCAGCCCGCATGCGGTACGCGCCCAATTTTGGCACACCCCTCACACGTTCGTGGCCCCATAGGGAGCTCCAACGTAGGCTCCAGTGGCGCAGCCCGCATGCGGTACGCGCCCCATTTTGGCACACCCCTCACACGTTTCGTGGCCCCATAGGGAGCTCCACCTTAGGCCCCAGTGGCGCAGCCCGCATGCGGTACGCGCCCAATTTTGGCACAGCCCTCACACGCTTCGTGGCCCCATAGGGAGCTCCACCCAAGATCCTAGTGGCGCAGCCCGCATGCGGTACGCGCCCAATTTTGGCACACCCCTCACACAATTCGTGGCCCCATAGGGAGCTCCACCCAAGATCCCAGTGGCGCAGCCCGAATGCGGTACGCGCCCCATTTTGGCACACCCCTCACACGTTTCGTGGCCCCATAGGGAGCGCGGGCGAAGATGGTACTCACAATTGCGGTATTCACAACTGCATATGGTTGGGTCCTTCGTCAGG